TTGTTCTGTATTCTTTTTTCAACATGTTACTTTTCAAATATTTGATTTTTCTTCTACATTTTTGCCGTCGAATTTTTGGTATTTTAGTCCATGCTCCCATGAGTTCACTAGGTTTTCTTCTTTATACGTGAAAATTTTCCCACTTGTTTCCTCCTTATTCCCCTCTTTATTTCGTAGCACGAGATGAAAGATTCATGTTTTGGAGATTAGGTAATGAAGATGAAATTGGAAAGGAAAAACAATTGTTTGGTAACAAAGAATAATAATAGTTGAATTTGATGACCCGTTTAAGTGTATCACAACCAAACCCCTCAAATATGAGAAGAATGAAAGTTATACCAATTACCATACTCATGGTCATGGATTGCTTGGAAATTTTTATGCGTATCAAAGTACAGAACAATGGTTAGGGTTTGAGTTTCGGCCCTTAACATCTTCAAAAACTTTTGCAAAAATACGCATTCAAAATAAAACTATACATAAACGAGCCATAAACCACAAATCAACAATTCAGTAAAAATGAGTATTTTGCAATTGAAAACAGAACAACAACAACAACAACAACAATATAGCCTTTAGTCCCAAGCAAGTCGGAGTAGGCTAGAGATGAAACCCAAGAGAAACACAAAAAAGACTCGAACCAAAAGGAAGAGATCGGCTAAAAAAAAAAAAAAAAAAAAAAACGAGAGATAGAGAGAAAGGAGCAAAAGTCACGGTTCTGGCACGTTGAATGTCAAATGCGTGAAGTTATACAGAAACTTAGTAAATATAACTTCACGCATTTGACATTCAATTGGACAGCCGTATCTCCCAACTTTATCCTACAAAATCTAAATAATGTTCAATTTTAACCTGTCACAGGAATTTGAATGCATTATGTGCTTATTGAACTTCCAGCCTCCAGTCAGTGCTACTACCGTGTGCCCTGGCACACCTAGCATGACACACCTAGCAAGGTGTGCCAGGGCAATTTAAAATGAACATGTTATGTTACAAAATGAACATGTGCAAACATGATTTACACATGTTCATTTTGTAACATAACATGTTCATTTGTGGCACACCTTGCTAGGTGTGCCTAAGTATTTGCGGCCTCCAGTATCATATAACTTCTTTAACACTTCACAAATGATTTCCCAATATTTCCTTTTTTTTTACCAACTTCACAGCATAACAAATGACAAGAAATTTCACAACCTGAACCCACAAATTAAGAAGTTCCACTTCAAGTCGAGAGGTACATCAATTAACTAAGCTGCAAAGGGAAAAATCAAACCTGTACATCAAAACTTTGGTGCTCATACAATTGGCCTCCCAACTTGTGCATTGTATGATAAAATGATGTACAAAAAGATCTGGCAAAGTATCCAAACAAAAAAGCACTGCTGCTAAGCAAACAAAATGATAAACCTTTAGAACCAAAATTAAGTCGAGAGGCCCCATACATAATCCACATTAGAGAGAGAGTGATGGACCACAAATGCCCATCACTTACTTGTTATCATGATTTGTGATAAATCGTGCAACAATTATCAATCACAATCCATCACTGTATAACAACCAAATGATTTGTAATTAAAAACTCCACAGTCGAATTGGAGAAATATATGCAAGGCATACATAATCTCTTTTCTGCTTAAAAGTGAAAAGCTTACCTAAAGCTCACAGCAAAGCTGCCGAGACTCGGCCTTCCTCGCACAATGTTGATTGCCTTCCACCTTCAGACGGCTGATGCCTAGTCCATAACTGCAGTAAACTATTTTTTTACAGAATACAGTAATCTTCACTTACTCCAGCTTTATTCTAGTTCACATTAGAAAATATGCGCAAGAACCAAGCTATAATCATAACAAATCCATTGAAAATCTAAGTGCACTCTGAGTGATGTACTACAGTTCAAGAAATACTTTCTGACATATATAGAACGGAATCATGAAGGCTTATAATCCATAAACAAGTATGACGATTTCCCTCTAACTAAATTAAATGTTAAACGATGTGTAACGGACAGGATATATCCAGTAAAAATAGCGCCTGCAGCCAATGATTAATCACCGTAGTCAAAAGCAATAAAAAGACGTGCATTACAAGAACATCTATATTTGAAGTGGATAGTTGCAGATTCTGCTTCAGGTCTTTTTATGTTGTGCATTCCTCGCGCACCAGTTGGTCAACAGAGGCAAACATTTCGACACAACCAAATTGATTCACTATGACATTATTAATCCCCAAACATGAAAGAAATTAATTTCTTCACACTATTATTCATCATCATAATAATAATAAAAAAGAAAAAAGAAAAAAAAGAACAACTCACTGTTGTATAATACAATATAAGCAAAGAGAGGGAGAGAGAGCTGAAAGAACAGATGTAAATCTGCAATACCCATTTCAAAATCAAATCATCATAAAAGATGGTCCGCATATAAATAAAACAAGGACAAGTAGCACTATATAGTAGTATTAAATCAAACAATCGAAGTTAGTTCTACGAACATCATTATTATTATTATCTTTATGCAACGCAAACAACACTTACAGGTTTATTAACGATTCGTAAGTTTCAAAAAGTCAAATTCTACTGCCATGCAGAATGCCTATGTCTTGTGGGCTCACTATCCTCCCTCCTCTTCAAAATACCACCTGAAACTGAAAACATACGGGCCTGCTCCTCAGCGAGGGCTTGAAAACTCGAAACAGATTGTTGGCCAGATGGGCGAGGCAAAATTTCTTCCTTCGCTTCACTTTCCACAGTCCCAGGGCCCGCATTAAGATCCAGGCCCGATCTGGCCCACTTCCGATTATTATCCATCACAACATTATTACTGACATCAGCAACGTTAACCATAAAAGGCCGCTGAAATTGGGGCGCGACATTATTACCAACAGATCCCATATATTGCAAATTCATTGGAGAGGGAAAAATCCTTGCACTTGATGACGAATCTTGATACGAAGCACCTCCGACTGAAAAAGTGCCTGAAGGGAGAGGAAAAGTGGTCCCGAAAGGAAATACAGGGTACTGGAATGGTCCGGAAGGGAAAGGCATTGCTGGAGAAGATGACAATATTGATCCACGATACATGTCAGGATTGAATTGGCCAAACGATCTCTGAGGTAATATTGATGGTATGGCTACAGTTGAGTAGGTATTCCCGGGAGAAAACCAAGGTGCGAAGCTGCTTGGCCCCTGATTGCTCTTTGAGAAGCCGGCAGAAGGCAGCTGTGCAGCTAAACCACCCTTCTTCACTAATTGACTTACTGGAAACTGCCTTACACTAGCTTCATCAACCGTAGGCCCATCGTTGAGATCGAAATCCCTCTGAATATGCATATTAGTCTCTGGTTTGACATGAGCAAGGGAAGTCTCTCCGTGATGGGAGCATCGGGAATTATCATTTGCCTCGTCAGACCTATTCAAATCGAGATCCAGCACACCAGAACTTGGTTGCATAGAACCTTGAGAAGCCATTTCCTCGAGAAGTCTTTCGTCCGGCACGTTTAGATCAATATCCAAAGGAAAACGGTCTTGTCTACACGAATTAGATGTGCCAACCGCCATTTCAACGTTTTTTCTTGGTTCGGCAGGACGAAAAGCACTAGTGGCAGCAGAGCCTTTCCACCCAAGCTCCGGTTTACTTCTCAACAGGTCGTCTGGAGGAAAAAATGTGCCATTGGCAGCAGAAGCTAATGTAGAGGTGGCAGAATGGACAGCGAGAATAGAACTTACAGGAAATGGTAAAGAGTCAACCATTGTTGAAGGCAGAGTGACAGGCTCCTCATATTTTACATCATCATTACTGAAATCTTCGTTTAAGTCGAACTTCATTTTTTCATAAGGATCTGTTCCTCCAGAATGAGCAGAAGAAACAGACCCGGTACAAGCAGATGTAGACTTCCCTGTATTACCAGAGCGAATGCTAGCACAGCTCTTTTCTCGCAACTCATCCTTCTGAGATTCCTGCTTCACAATCTCCTGGTTCTCCAGATTGGCCATTTTACAGTTCAGATCTTGAGATGTGGAGCATGAAAGAGATTGACTTTGAATACCCTTATCAGGGTCCAACTTGCTCATGCAATCTTCGTCATCCTTCATAATGGGTTCTACTTTGACTGAACCACCGGGTTCTGGTAATGACTTCTGGCCACATTCAGATTGGCCAAGATCTTTATTGCTAGCTTCCACAAGTTCAGCCTCTATAACTGTAGAAGTCGGTTTCGGGGGAGAAATGGATGACGTGCCCAATACTTCATTCCGAAACTCGCTATTACTTTCCTCTAATGACTGATATGCTGTATCACCAGCCATTAGCTTAAATTCACCACTATCCAAATTAGTAACATCCTTTTCTTCAGTCACCGTGCCAATAGTTCCATCCATGGAGTCAGCTGGTATTTTTCCAGAAGAATGGCATATTCGTTCACTAGAAAACTCATCCTGATTGTGTACTCCTGCAGAATGATCGTTAGGGGAAGGCTTAGATTTTGTCACAACACCAGAGCAAACTTCCTCCACGGCAGGTGTTGTCCATTCAGTAGAATCATTAGGCGAAACAACATCAGATCTTGAAATTTCTCCTGCAGCTACACTGGCCAGCAAGTTCATGCCAACATCATCGTCAAGAGACAGTGACGAAGTAGCTTCTGAGTACTTGGCACAGCTCTCGACTAGAGCTTTCATGGGGCTGAAAGAAGACGCTTGCAATTTTACAGAATTCAATTTGTCTGATGCATCCGCAGTATGATCTGTCTGATCATTGTTCACATCTGACTCAAATTTACACTGGAAAGCTTTACCTTTGTCGTTTGGAGAAGGATCGGTTTTCTTATGTTTCTGCACAGGAGAAGAAGAAGAAGAAGAAGCCTGGCTACTCATGATAATAGTATCGTCTGTTGATTCTCCACAAACCCCTCGTGCAGGACTTTTCACGCGATTTGGTATCTTAACAATTAGCTTATGGCCAATTCCATCACTGATGGGCCCCTCCACAACCTTATCACCAGTTATTGAAGAGTGAGAAGACTTTTCTAAAGCAGTACTCTTGACTGGTGTTCCCACAAATCCACTATTTTTTCTATTACGAGTACTGGTGCTTGATGTCTTATTATTAACAATCGCTGAATGTGACGTGGAGCTCTTGACATCATCTTTCACTGACAAAGACTGACCATTGTTTTGCGACTGGTTAGAACTGCTACTCCTATCTTCTCTAATTTGAGTTGCATCAGCATTGACTACCCCACCAGAACTTCTCACTTGGCTCTCCTTTCCAGGTGACGACCTGCTGGAACTCATTTTTGCCGAAGAGTTCTGAGTGAGGGAGCTTTTCATGGCACCATCAGGAGTTCTGCTACCAGCATGAGAAGCTTCCGGAAGGCGTGATTTCACATCGATGCTAATCATTTCAGCTTCAACACGTTTTTTCCAAGTGTCCACTAAAGTCCGTGCCTTTCGCTGAATCTCCATGTTTTTATGGGATCGTAAATGATTCACAGATCTGCCGATGTTGCACGTTTGAAGGGCTTGAAGATTAACCGGAATATTTTCCAGTGCACGAAGCAAAACCTGAAGAAATTCCTCCACCGGTTTGTCACCATCCTTTATAGTATTATTACCGTCACCAATTTTCCCTTTGTGAATATCCTGCAGCCAACTATCAAGCACAGGCAAACCCCTAAGGTGGACAAATCTACTGAGGCAATCTATTTTATCAGTGGAAGCCAATACATAGGCAAGCATTGAGCGGCTACCTAAATCCAATTTTCTCTCCGGTGTATCGAGTTGCATCAACTGCACGAGCTTCTCAACCCCATCTAAATCCACTACACCTGCTTTTTCAGTTATTTTTGCAATCTCGTGTCTTAAGTTACTTTCACCATCATCAAGCCGTGGAAAATTTCCACGTTTGATAGAATCGGAACCATAATCACCTCTTTCCCTCTTCTTTCCTTTAGCTTGAGTAGGAGCATTAACACCATTTTGACCATTATTTTGCTTAGGAGAACGAGCACCAGGCTGCAAAGTCGGATGCATTTCTATCTGAGTTTTGTACAGAAGCTTATCTATTTCTTCTTGCTGATCCTGAGTATATATATATACATATTATAAATATAATATTCATATCAGAAAGGTATACAGAGCAATAATAGTTCGCTTTAACAATAAATGATTTTCCATTTCCCACTTTCTTATCATACACCACCCTACAGCTTGCAACCCCTCAAGAGAGACAAAGTAAAGAACTACTCCACACACACACACACACACACACACACACACACACATTTAAATAATTACACTTTAGAAAGGAAAAAAAACAACTAACATTAATGAACTGCCGATCTGTTAGCCACCACAAACTCTTGTTCGCAATGTCATAAGCACGCCGACAAATGAAAGAACATGTTCCAGGGGGAAGCTCGACACCTCTAGCAAGAAATGCAACTTTACAAGGATGGAGTAGAGATGCAGCAGGAACTTCGTCTTTTTGAAAGGAATAGAAAATCTCGTTTGGGGCACTGTCCAACAAAGTTCCTTTCCCGAGCCTCAGCTCAGACGACCGATACAGCCAATTCACACCTAGCTGCAAATTATTCTCCTTGTCCAATGCCAACCAACGAATTAACCCAACGAAAGGCGGAGAATCTTTAGGCGGCTTGAAAAGTGCAGAATCACCAACGCTAATTTGTCGACCGTCCTACAAGAGAGAAGAATATTTTGTATCAAAGAAATGGGTGCCCCAATGTACATGTTATACAGAGAAGCCCTATCGCATACAAAAAAAAAAAAAAATGTCCAATCTAAGAGAGAGGGAAGGGGATAGAGATAATGAGAGAGGCAGTTAAAAGCTAATTGCATGGAGCTAAATAAAGAAATTTCAGTACGTACAGCCTGATAGTGCGATGGTCTCAGCTTTAATGTCTGAAAATGATGTATCTAGAATGAACGCTTAGTAATAGGATTATAATTCTTTTGGGGCTTAAAGTGTCCTTTTTTTTACAGTTAAACCACTCCTCCATGGGTAATAATTCAAAACTATTACTCCTTCTGTTACAGCTCAGAAAAGAAACTATTGGCTTAATATATTTTGGATAAATGCAGGCCATAACCTTGTATTTAGTAACCGCATGGAGAGTATCTAAGAACCATTGACTATGCTATTTGAAAGTGACATGTTTAAATTCAATAAAAACAAAGCAAAAAGAAAATTAAAAAGAAAAACAAGCACAACTAGAAAAAGGCAAACTTCTAAGGATTATACAAGTATATCCACCCATTTCATTACACAAAAACAAAACAAAAACAAAGAAAATAAAAGGAAGAGGTCTAAGAGACAGGTCAGAGATAGCTGTCTTTTAAGATAACGCGCATAATGCCTGAACAAATGGGTATAAATCTAGCACTTCAAGAGTTGTAAAACACTAAAGACTTCGGACCGCACACGGAAAACTTCTGCTACAGTGTAATGACAGTCCATAATAATTGAAATGATGTCCGTGAACTCTTTGCCACCGCCAATTGCAGGAGTAGGAGAAACTCAACTTGCGTGGCTCCCCATCCCAACTCACAGCACATAAGCACATAAAGTCAATTGAACAACAATGATCTAACATTTTAGCTTTCCTCATGAAAAAAAAAATAGCAAAATCTAAATTGGAAATATACATCCCACTCTAAAAGAAAGAGACAAAATACAGTTCATAAACGAAAAACTACATCCCTGTGACAACAAGAAGCACATATCATCGGACATCTGCGAACAAGGAAACGAATTCTCATTTCATCAAATGTGATTTGAGAACTCCTAACAGAACATATAATAGATATATTACTATGGTGACCATTTTAATAGATTAAAATCATATGAATCCACTGGGGGTATAAAAATATAGGAGTAAAACCGACCAAGCATTTACCTTGATGAATGATTCGGCACCACAAGAGGTGGTGGCAGCAGAATCACGGGGAGCACTGTTATCACCAGCAAGAATTTCAGTGTTGTCGGAAGTTACTAATGGCAGGACTGGCGGCATGTGCTGACTGCAACTCCTTCCTAAATTCCTACGGTTCTTGCTGCCCTGATGAACCCTTCCATGCATAATAAAATGGGGTTTTTTGCATTTTCCCCAATCTTCATACCATTCAATACCCCAATTTCAAGCATCAATTTTTTCCAAATTCCCTACAAACTCTACAACATGTCCGCCAATAAATTAACTCAAAATCCTTGAAAGCTCGATCGCCGGGAAGGATGGAAGAAAGAGAAAAACCCTAGATCGCTCAACCCACAAAAAAGTCGTACTTCTTTTTGCTTTATCTCACATCTGAGCCTTCAATTATCGAACGCAAATCCTTTGAATTACAAAATTCGCAGCTTTCAAGCCGAAAACGCAACCCCATCAAATAAAACAACTGCGCAGAACGATATCAAGCGTCCCAGATTGAAAAAATCGCGTCCACGCATCTACACACGCTTCTATGGACATCGAGAGAGCCGGCAAAACAAGGAGACCCAGAAAATCAGAAGGAACCTGCTGAGATGTTTCCAATTTTCCGGTGAATGTGGAAAGAACACCGAGGAATTTTCAGAAAGAAAAGCAGAGGTATAGATACGGAAGGCTGTACGTAGAGATAGATAGAGAAAACAGTGTCGTGGAGACTCGTCACATGGGAAAGGGAAACGAAAATGTGTTCACGATTTTGGTTTAGCTTATTTAATCATTCTCATCAACTTTTATTATGTAATTAATGAGAAACTAGTACGTAACCCGTGCGATGCACGGGATTGTAAAATTTAGAAGAATAATATAACTTCACGTGCATTAGGATTGAAATTGAAATAATTAAAATATAAAAAGTTCGGTAACAATCATATAGTATTAAAAACCTCCTTGTACACAACATTATGAATTTGATTATTTGGTAACTCCTCATTATCACAAACTAATATTTTCAAAAGAGACAAATCCTAAAAATCAAACTAATATTTTTGGTGAACAAACTAATATTTTAGGATTGGTGAACAAACTAATATTTTAGGATTTCTAAGATTTGTCTCTTTTTGGTGAACAAATTAATATTTTAGGAGTGGTTATATGAATAAGGCAGAAATTCTATGGTGCCCATATGGGCACCATAGAATTTCTTATGAATAAGGCTACCTATTTTTGGTGTTCTTTTCATTCATTTTCATTCAAACAATCCGATGACTTGTATAATGAAATCCGAATCTTAAGCCGAAATATTTAAAAAAAGAGTTTTTAAAAATTGAAAAGTCAAGGCAATCAGTTCAGATTAATTAAAGGTCAAAGAATATCCGCTCCTTGAAATAAAGACGTGTGCTATCATTAACCAAATATCCGGTTATTGATATAGAGTGGTTACCAAAAAATAGAACGCGATAAGGACGCTTCATGGAAATATCAATCGGATAAGGTCATAACAGATCACTATACATTTTAACGATAAGAGCTCAGATGGAATGATTTATGATAATTATGTCGTAATTAATGAATTAATTAGATGTGTGAAAAGGACATAATTAATGAGAAGTGTGAAAAAGACATAATTAATGAGAAGTGTGAAAAAGACATAATTAATGAGAAGTGTGAAAAAGACATAATTAATGAGAAGTGTGAAAAGAACATAATTAATGAGAAGTGTGAAAAGGACATAATGAATGAGAAGTGTGAAAATGACAAAAACTTACCAGTTTTGGAAAATATTTAATGCAAATCTGACATTGACAATAATTTGACCTACTATTTTAGATAAATGTTAATTCTTATTATATAAGTATAGATGTTAGGGTCCTATTACGGAACCATCTCATTAGGAGTTTTAACTGTTTGGATACACATGTAATTAGTATAAGATTGATGATCCAACGGTTAAAACACTTTTACGGAACCATTTCATTTCCCGTAATTATTATTATTATATAATAAAATGTATGTATTAGTATAGTTTCCCAAAATCAAAATGAGTATCTCAACAAGGAATTTGGTTTATTTTAGGTCAACATATGACTCCCCAAATTTGAGAAAATGGTAATCTAGAACTTGATAAATAGATTTTTCAAAACTAAAAATCAATATGTAATGAAATGATGTCACAGCAGTTGATCAAGTTTAATCTAATAATAACTAATAAGTTACTGTAAAAATTTGATATAGTTGATGTACTGAAGATGTGTATGTGTTTTTGTCAAAATATTTATTAATCAACATTCTAATTGCATTGCACATCACTCACGTTCGTGCTGTTGATAAAACATTCGATTTTTCGCTTGAGAAAAACGTATGGGAGTTCGTCTTCTTCCTCAATTCTCACACATTAGCTTTCTCGAGCAGTAAAACGATTTAAAATAGCTCTCTAATTTAAGCATTGAACTTGTTTATTCCCCACTAGAGAAAAATCTATGAGAGTTCATCCTCTTTCTCAATTCTCACACGTTGCTTTTATCAAGCATTAAAACGACTTTAGAATAGCTATATATGATTTCAGCACTGAACTTGTTTATTCTTCAAATATATTCATTGTCGTTTTAAATAAGCATCACGTCTCAACCACCTTTATTTTAGATTTCTCACTCATTTTTTTGCAATTGTGTTCATAAAATGAAAACTATTTTAGATTTCTCACTCATTTTTTTGCAATTGCGTTCATAAAATGATGGTATCGACCATAGTGTTTATAGTTTCAATCAGCATTACATTTATATCAGTGCATTTGGTGAGTAGTATGGCTTACTAATTGTAATAGTTCTACTTTTTCTCTCTTTTTTACTAGATCGTGAATATAGAGTAGGTAATGATGAAATTGAGAAAAGGAAAACATATAACTATACTAAAGTATCAAAATTTATATGAAAACTATATGACATAATTGGTTTAGCCGGCCTAATAGATAAAAGACTGCACAATTGAGTTAATAATCGTTTTACCATCTGTCTTAGCTAGACATTTCCCACTACCTTTTGTCAACTTAATATCATCTCAATTGGCATTTGAGAATGTTAATCTCAACCTCACATTCATAATGCTACCAGCACATGATAAATCCAATAAAAATGCTACATACCACATGTCAAATCCAACAAATCTATCCATTTTACTCTAAATATTCCAAAATGCAGTGTGCATCCAAAATTTGGATGTGCAAAATGCAAAATATTGGTCCCAAACAATCAATGGTGAGACCTACACTTTGACATTGATGGATTAAAGTTAGTATCATGCTAGTCCCCATCAATACACATATTGCATTGACCCATTGGTTTTGAAACTTCAACCATAAAACTTAAACCCTAACCAGTACTTAAACTCAAGCTGTGGTTTTAAACCGGGTAAAGAAAATTGTCTGATTAACAACTGTAGGGAACTCAAAAATTGGGCTTTCCCAGCATTCTCAATACTTGATGCAAGATTATAGTTATGTTACATGCATTCATGCCCACACTAAGAGTGTAATAGGTAGACATTAAGTTATTTCACATGCTTGAAACGGCACATTGACTTTAATACCTGTTCAAAGAAAGTTCGACCAGGATTAGCCAATTAGCAGAAGAGTTGAGAATAGTTGGATAACAGTTGAAGGATAAAAAAATATATAATCCTTGGTCATCTACTGATTGCTGTCATTTGAGTGAAGAGAATTCATATTTACCAAACGAAAAGAGAAAGTACAACAATAATTTACAATACTAAAGATCTTTCACAAAGATGGTAAATTTTAAGTGATTATTTTACACTTGAAACGTGATGATCCAAAATATAACATGCAAAACATGTATTTGTTAATCAGCATCACATCATTGTTAAATTTGTTTCTGCATTGTTAAGATTTATTCCTAGCTCACTTCCGCACAAATTTTGAAGGGAATAATATATAAGTATGATTTTTTATGTTATCCCATAATTTGTCTTTTCTTTTTCCTCGCACTTATGTAATGTCACGTGCAAATCGTTTCAAAGCTAAGATCAATTTTAAACAGATCTAGCGCCACACGAGTCAACAGTTTCAAACTCAAACTACTTAGCCACCAATGAGCACGCCGTCCACACTGCACACTAACTGCGATTTTGAAAAATTAAGCAAACCAAAAGATGTAATATTGCTAGCAAAAATCTATCCTGATTCCTGTTGTATTTTCATTTTCCCAGCATTAAGACAAATTGTTCTCCAAGCCTCTTGGCAGGAGTAGTTTAATGGCATCAATTTCAGTTCCTTAAGGATTTCTCATATAAAAATAATTGAAGTTGACTTGCTAAAAGATGGAAGTCCGCGATTTAGATTGAACATTTATTTAAGCTACCCTTTCCACTTCTCAAAGTCACAAGCGAGCTCCAGTAGCTAGTGTGGATCAGACCACTCAATCAAAATTAACAACTTAAAAAACCTAACACTTGTATTATCTGATTGGCCAAAGAGCATTCATAAGCTATTATCTGCAAGCAATCATATATGTAGACCTTCTCATATTAGTGTGCATGTGTGCACTCAATGGTTTGACTTCAGATTTGACGAGATCAAATAAATAAACTTAACCATCCAAATAAATAATTAAATAAATACATATATATATATACACACAGTCACACACATACACACAAACAGCACCTTTGGGATGCGCTTTGGTCTGAGCATGAAGCATCTGCCGCGGAGTCATCAACATGTTCTTTTCCTTCAGTAGAACATATAAAAAATTCTTAAGGTCATCCCATGAATTGAGATGCAGCTCAGAGGCTTTCCAACTCCGACCTAAGAAAAACATATTAAATGAATAATGAAATAACTCAATAAGGGTTACTAAAGAAGATCTGCATCAAAACCGAAAAAAGCTACCTCAAGACGCTCAGCGTTCGCCTGTTCAGATGGTATTAAACCATCAAACTAATATAACAACTTTTGGTTTCAATGTAATGAAAACACAGCTGAATAGAAACTCAATTGCTGGCAGTGAAGCAACAAGAATACTGAACCTAGAAAAGCAAAAATAACCTCGTACGCACTCAAAAAATAAAGACATTATCTTTACCATAGACTACAGGCTTCTCATCCTATGGGTTTCTATCAGCCTCCAAAAACTCCTCAAGAGGATTGTGCCGAGCAACAGAACTAGCAGAAGCTGCAGCAGCTGAAGCCTCTGATTTGGCGGCAGCAGAAACGTCCTCCCAAAAACCCTTGTCAAAAATATTTTCACTTCAGGAAACGACAAGAACTTCTCTGCATCAAAAAATATACCACCAATAAATATCACAAAAATCACAATATAAAATGCCCAAAACAATATATACAACCACTCTAATTCAATGAATGCTATTAAATACCATGAGATTAAAACGTAAATAATAACTTGGCTATCTTATATGAGAATTCGTGCATGTTACGGGCCCATACACATAATCCCTCAAATCCTCATAGCAATCTAAAGAACACAACAGTGAACACATTTTGGGAACATAAAAAATAGTCCCAGATGAAATGAAGATCTGACAACAGTAAATGAAACCCAGCTCATCTGAATAAA